GCAGGGGGGCACAAGGGGTGGCCTGGTTACAATGTGTGGCCGAGCTGGCCTAAGAAAAGGTTGCTCCCTTTTTTGGGGAGCTCTTTCACTCTGCCGTCTCCACTGGAAGTAGAAGTGGAGCAATTTAGAGATGAGCACCTGTCTGTCACCTGATGTGTGCACCTGATGATGGCATGCGTCTGTTTCCCATCAAGCCGGGGGTGCGTGCGTGTGAATGCAGTCCTTTTTTGGCTGAATGTTTTTTCGTGTATCTGCATTCATTTGCCGGCAGGTACTGCCACGGGTCTGCACCCTCTGTGGTGGCATGTCCAGCCCTGTAGGCTGGTCGCGGGTCGGAAGAGGGGCGGGTGGCTGATGTAAGTCACGAGCATCTTGCAGGCCATTTGCTCGCACACACGCACGTGCTGTGGTCAGTAAGGCTTTTGAATTCCCATTACCAGCCAGCTGGGCTAATTCTGCCTGGTGCATGCTTGTGTGAGGTTCTCGGCTGTCTTCGTTGATGCTTCAGATCTGTAGCTTGTGAATAGCTTTGGGACTTTTTTTTTCTCCCTTCTCCTTAACATGGGCCTTACAGTTCTCTTTTAACTGATTTGCTAATTACACGTGCCGGCGTTACAGACCTTTCCCTCTCCTCTCATTTTTCCCTGGCAACCACAAGCCGAGCCACATGTCGATATGTTTTTTTCTATATCTGTGCACTCCGTGCTGTGTGGGGTAGCATGCACTTTGTTGCCCAACCAAAGCTGGACTGTGGTTTTCGTGATGGTTAGCCTGGGGCTTTTCAGTTTTTCCTTGATGGGGGTGTAAGGGGAAGGGTGGGAGGGTCTCCTGGTAGATGCCTCTTAATTTCTTGTTGTGCATTTTTTTTATTGTTGCAAGCAATTGCTTAATAACTCAAAAACCTGTTCCTCTCTTTCAGCTACAGCATGCAGGGAAACCTTTTCAAGGGGTTGTGTGCAAGGGGTGGGAAGATACTCCAACCTTGCCTGCTTTGTGGGGTCCCAGCTGGGAGACTCGGAGTAGTCCATGGTGGGGGAAGTTTATCATGTCCTTGTTCAAAGTACTGTAGAAAAGTTCAGTCCCTGTGAGAGCCTTCCTGAAGGAGGAGATCTTTACCACTGTATTAACACCACAGCCAGGTAAATGGGGAGTATTTGAGTTAACCTTTTCTCAAGGTAACTCTGACACTCGGCATGAACTTTGTAAACTGCACTCAAGAGTGTTTTTTGTGCAATAAAATTTCTAGGCTGTGTTTGAGCTGCATACTAGGCTTTGAAGAGCTCTCTCTGGTTGACTCACTACTAATTTAACAGAGTTTTTGTGGTTCAAGGGACTTGAAGGCTTCAAGTTCTGAACCTCATCTTGATTGATAAACAGGATTGTGCTGTTTTGGTTGGGAAAGTAAACATGTTAACCTTGTCTACCTGATATAGAGATTGGAAACCTTACAGCCTACTTCCTACCCCATTCTGGAGCTGTGGAAACGGGAAGAGAGACTGAAACCCAAGGTTGTCTTCTGATGGTTTTATTGCCAGTGTGGCCACAAGTTTTTGTGAGCTCCGGGAAATTGGATGACCTACTGTTTAGCTTTGATTCAACTAGGTTTTATAATATTGATTTCACTTTGTCCTTAGCAGTGGCATTATTTCCTAGAAGGCTTCTCAGTCTTCTTTAGCTACCTTTGCTCGGGGCATCTGGTCCTCTCTCTATATGCGTAGGGCTGTTGGTGTGAGCGGTCATAGAGGAATGAAAATGATGATGAATGCTCAGCCCCCCTTGCTGAGGAGTTATAATCCCCCTCCAGGCTGCTGCAAGCCAGGTTGATTATTGGGAATTTGAATTGCACTGGCCTGTTTGAGCCCGATGTTGCTTGCTGTGATTCTGGAAGCTTGTGAATCTTCTCTGTAACCTGGAGAGTAGACCAGAGATTGTTTTGCTGTTGTATGATCTGGGGAGTTGTCCGTTCAGGGCAGCTGACCAGCATGGCTATTCCAGAACAATTGCCCTGTGCAAGCGCTCTGATCTGGAATAGCATCCACGTGGGGGAAGGTAAACTGGCTGAATGGCACTGGATGGCTTCCTGGAGAGCTATCTTGGCAGATGGCTCTGCGTAGACAAGCTGATAGGTTAGCAGAGATCTCTTGCTTGAAATGGCCATCGGAGAAGAGCTGCCCTGAAGCACCAGCTTTGTCCTGCACCGGTTTCCTTTAAGAAGCACAGATAGGCTGGAGATAAACTGCTTCCTTTGCGTTCTTTGAAACTAGCATAAATCACTGATAACTGGCCTGACCTGGCGTAGCACAGCGGATTTTGCAAGAGTCCCTTAGACTCCTTGAGGAATCCTCTCCCAGGGTGACCTTGTGAAATTCCCATGAGACGGTTTCCCCGGGCCAGTACGATCAGACTGTATTGTGGTGGCTAGCATGATGATGACCAGGAATAAGCCTAGGTCTCAGTCCCCACAGGGTGAGGAGCACAATTCCGTACTGTGTTGCAGCTCTTCCACATACCGAGTGTTAAAACCAGTAGAGAACGGCCTGTCTTCTGTGGAATACGTTAGCCTGGCAGGCCGGGATTTAAAGCTCACTTCTGAGATGGGAAGTGTTTGTGCCTAAGTTGAACGTGGAATGGAAATGTCGAGGAAAAGGTTAAACTGATCAGCCCCAGTAGGCGATGCGAACCTGGGTTGTGTCGGGAGAAGAGTGGATGACTTTATACTCTGTCTGCCCTCTGGTCCATGCAGGTGGTGGGTTTTTCATCAATCTGTGGGAGTTGGACTATAACTAAAAACAGCAACAAAAAAAGCTGCCTAACGGCACAGAAATGAAACCAAGGGAACTGCAGTGCCCCAGACTGTCCTTTAATCGCCTACAATACAAATAGAGCTTCCTTACCAAGCAGTATGTGGAAGGCAAGCTCCTCCCTTCAAGGACTGTTTTTAAAAGCTTGTGAAAGTGGAGCAGTTTTTAGCCCTGTCAACAAGACCTTGAATAACCACTGGCGCTGTCGGATCCCCTTGCATGCAGCCTGCACACGCTAGGTTTTAGGTCAGAGGGATCTAATTTATAGTTTTCGGTGCACAGGGAGAAAGGTGTTATGTGGAGATGTACTACAGGAAGTCCCCCCTCCCCCCCATGCTCTCCTGCAGGAAGGTAGGTCCCACAGACGGCAATAACTCTCCTCTAAAAACACTTCATTGCTGTAGAGGAGGGAGGCCGGGAGGGTTACAAGGAGCTGAATAAGTGGCTTGGCTCTTGATCTACAGCAGGGAGTGAATGAGCACAGGAATCTCGTATTTATGGAAAGAAGCTGATGGGCGGTCTGTGCTTGCATCTCGGGCCCAGTTGACAAATGTGTTTTTAAGATGCTGTTTCCCTAGGTCGCAGCCCAGCGCTGTCTGGCATGCGCCCGCACTGTTTCTTTTTGCTGGCTGATCTCTGCATGTGTGATCTTAAATCCAAAGCCTTCTATTTCTAGCTCCCCGCAAGCCAAAGCTGCAAGAATTGAGCTTGAGGCGTGCTCTGTTGTAATGCTCGTGGCGTAGAACTGGCACGCTTAATGGGAACCGTTATCCAGCAGCTCCCCTGGTGCCCTCAGCAGCTTTCCTCTGGAGCAGTTTCTCAATCGGGGTCCCTCATCTGCCGCACTTGCTGAACCAGGGACTTTGAATCGTGTGTTTTGATTTCGTTTTATCTGCCCCTCTGCCATTACGTTATACTCAAGATCAGAGCAAGGTTAACACCTGTTCCAGAGATGTGAAGTACAGGGTGCTGTGATGAAGCAACGCAGCATTTGCCATGACTTTTCCAATGTGAAAGATGGTTGTGGAGGGCACTTAGGTGCCTTATTAAAATTGGTGCCAATTTATCTGGGCTCTGAAGATTCCCCTTTCTCTGCAGCTCTTGTCAGATTTAATAATGATGTGCTTGGTTTCCTATCCTCAACATCTAGGCTTGCCCATCAGTGCAGCGTACATGTAATGCAGCTGATATGCTTTGGAAAATTTTTAGCTTGGCTGAAAAGCATAGCATGTGTTCTTAGTCCTACTGAGAGCACATCTGGGCCTGGCTTGGCTTTCTCCTCATTCAGGAGGGGAGAGCAATGGGGAAGTGCAACCGAAGCGATGCAAAATGTATGCCTTCCTCTTCCTACACCTGTAGTGCTAGCTAGGACTTCTCCGCTCATTGCCAGATGAGAGGGAGCATTACTAGAAAACGGGTAATGTGATGGAGCATTACCAGAAAACTGAGCTAAGCCAAGCAGTTGTTTTTAATTTTAATGTGGGAGAGAAATGTGACCCAAGAAGCATATTAAGGCCCTTCTCCACTGCAGTACTCATCGTACTGTATTGCAGTAGTGGTGCTCCTACCCAAAAAGGTTTGGCTGTCCCTTCCCTGAGTGCCACCTTGATTCCTACTCTCTGACCTCCTGACTTCATCCCAGCACCCATTTTCTGAGTGCTTGGGCCTTGTGTCTCACAGCAGCTGCCTGAGGCACGTGGTGCATGTGT